ACCGGGGAACAGTTAGTTTTGCGGATGATACGAATATTCTTTGCAATAAATAAACAGTATAATATAAGTAATAATATGGTTTACTTGCTATATGACGTGCAACTGACGGATGTTAAGGAAACAAAATACTTGAGTCTTTCACTTCAGTCAAACTTCAAATGGAACGGGTTGAACGAAATGAATTGAACCATAAATTAAGTTTTTTAGGCTTTCTGACTTTAAATTCAGTCGGCCTTCGCACTCTTCTTGCACATTTCGCGAATGTTTATTTCCACCTGAGATATGCGTAATATACTAGAAAAACCAAATATTATTTCGATTACGGAAAAGAATTGCACGAATAATAAGCAAATCCCACACACGTGATTCTTGAAAGCCTCTTTTTTTTTTTGTTACATATACATAGACGCAACGCGTCTCCAAGCCCTTTGGGGGGCGTTGAGCGCTTTGCGCTAGCAGTAAATTAGTTTAGTTAATTTAGTACACTTATTAGGAGTAATCCATCATTTCTAGTATGTCACGTCTCGTCGTAGTCAGTTTTCAAGAGGACCGCCAGGTAGCATCTCCGCGTACGCACCTATCACGTTCTCACTACCCTGCGGCCAGAATTGGGAAGAAATAAGCATATGGCTAAGGTTTAGGACGCTTCTCAGGTGTTGGACTAGCCGCTGTGAAGCAGGCAAACTCGTTTAGTCGTAACAAATTTCACATGTTCTACAGGGATTCTACGAGAATCGAACCCAGTGGTGAAATGCAGGCGACATCGCCACCGAACCACGAAAGCACCTTCTAACTCTTTTCATTAAGCTAGGAATTCTCCCACTGTCTTGCCTCGTGATTTACGAATCAGGTTTTTTTCTTTCTATTTCTGCTTGGCCCGAAGGCTTTCAGTAGCCGAGTACGATACATTGAGGGTACAGTGAATTATATCAGCATTGTCTAGGAAACATTATTCAGAGACGAATAAATACAATGAGTACACGTGGATTGAATATAAGAATTATCGGGTACTAATGGTCGAAGAACTGTCGCGGTAGTTTCCGCTTTAGTTCGTTGTGCGAAGGATTTTGTTTTCGGATTTTTCAATGTACGGCTGAGGGAATCTGGGAAGGTTGAAGTGAGTAGACAGACGGGAGAAATGGACGGAGATCGGAGTGATGCAGAGTTTGTTATATAACTGGGAGTTGGATACAAACCAGGGAGCTTTTGTAATCGTTCGGAGGAATTAATTTTGGATATTTTAATTGCTGGCTGAAGCCGAGGTAGGAGAAGTGTGTGATAAGATTGAACGAATCATTGATTGGTATAAATCAGTAGCAACATGAAGTCGCAGGGGTGAAGACTTTTTGAGTACGAGATACAATTGGTGTGTCCTAGGGGTTCTAACAATGACTTTTAATGTATGAGTTATCACTTGCATTGTATAATTCTAAAGAACCTGTAACAAGTGTTCTACTTCAGCTTCTAGGTCAATGACCCCCATCTCGATCAGGTTTTTGTCCTGTTTCCCTGCTCCTCGAGCAAATGCTGAGATGGCCCGATGTTTTGCTTTTGGACATAAATGTAACTTCAAATTAAGTTCTCCCAATAGCATGTCACACATAGTTTTTAACTGCTTTTGACATAAATAAATTAACTCACAGACATAGGTGAAAACAAGACAAAGTTAGCAGAGTCCATGAACACGGGTATAACACAAAAGAATCTCCAAATATCAAAATATCCCTTGATAATCAAAAACTAGAATTTTATCAAGATATCCATTTTGAAAACGTACGTAATATTGACAAGGTATTATTGTGCCTTAGAATGGTATCAAAAAATATTCAAATTAAAATTCCCCCTCTGTATGAACATGATGACAATGTCTCTTTAAGACTGAAGAGCTGAAAGTTGGGGTATGCCTCAAGGGTCACAGGTTCGAATCCAGCCAAGGGCATGGACATTTGGGTGTCAGTAGACTTTTACCCTCCAATTTTATTTACAGTGGTCGCTATATGACCTTAGCTTGAACAGCATCCCTGAATATTTTTTTTTTCTTCTTTTTTTTTAAGTAACTCCTGCACTTATAAGAATTAACATTACATTTCTTGTATCTCTCTCCTTCACCCTCCATTCATTCCCAACCGCTCTTCTTCATCCTCCCAGCTTTTCACAACTTCTGAATTCAAATTTAATTCTTCTAAACTGCTCTTATCCCCAACTCTGTACTTTTCCCAACATCTAAATTCAACTTTATTTCCATTTCCAACTTAGTGTTCATGTTTGTTATTTTTAACAAAAATACATGACACCAAAATTTTTCTCAAGGTATTGTAATTATTTTAATTCCTCTTAATCTACCAAACCAAATCAAACAAGGCTTTCGAAAGGTTCACACAAGCTTCAAGGCACATCAGACCTTCAGGCTGGTCCTTAACAGAATAAAGAAGCACAAGTTAGCAAATTATATGAATACTGCCAAATGGTCAAAGAGAATGTATAGTTATTTCATCAAAAGATATTTATTAAAATTATCTGTGGTTCAGAAAAATAGAAATTAATCCCCCTATGAGATAAGTGACTAGGATGTAACTGTGAGTTAATCTACAAAGGCATTCCTTCACAGGAAGTCATTAAATCAACAGTAATCTCCACCACTTTTCTGTTTCATATTCTAACACACTTCAAAACTGCTTGAGGTGATCACTTAATAAAGGTCAATCTATGAAATATGCCTGGCCATGTGGCAGCAGAAAAGAAGGGAATATCGACACCACTTAAAAAGCAAAGGGTCATTGATGGATGTGACTGCTTCACTGAGATGGCCATTTGAGCAATTTCATTGTAATATTATAATAAGTAAAGGTTACAAATAATTCAAGAAAATATGTGTTGCAACCACTATTTTTTTCCTGGTCTTTTTTTTTTTAATTAAAAAAAAAAAAGAGAGAGAGAGAGAGAGCACATTTTAAGTACATCAAATATATTCTTTATCCTTTCTTCAACTTAACTAGGTCAACACACTGAATGAACCAACTCTATATAAATAGATTCTAGCTCATAATTTAAAATTCTCACAACCACAATCGTAAATCATTTAGTCAAATAAAATAATTATAAATAATCCTGTAGAGATCAAAAACAATAAATATTCACAGGCACCGGTAAATACTGTACGTTTTCTGAAATACATTCCGAAAAAAAAGAAAAGAAAGGAATTTAAAATTGAAGTGTACAGTTAAATACAGTTGGACACCTACATATAATACTAGAAACCAAAAATCTTTATGAATATTTTCAAATAGAAATGGCATTCTCAATTTTTATGTAGACTTTTTGGTACTGATGAGAACAAATTCTTATAGTTTTGTCTGTATTCCCTATAATGTATTTATGGAAAATCTAAATAAAAATAAGTTCAGGCATAAATCTTCCGAGTCCAGAATTTTACAAACAACCTCCATTTCATACACTCTGAATTAGTTTTCATCTAAAATCTGCCTTTCTTCAAGCTAAAAAAGAAGAGGGTTTTTGTTATTTTCTATATCTATCTCAAATATTGAACAGTACTTTTTCATGTAGTTCAAGAAATCTGTTTTGTGGGTTTTACAAAGCTGTTTTTAGTCTGTTCACGACCATGGAAGATTTTTTGACACGTTCTAAAATAGTTGAGCATCATTGAAGATATAGCTCTGCAAAATATATTCTCCTGCCAACCATATTCTATTCTTCAACAAAAAAGGGCTGGAGTGCCAGCTATTAATGCATCATTAAGAGCTTACAGTTGGAGGTTAGGGATACTTTACATGAGCTATTTACATTGTTTCAATATAATTAAAAATAATATTGTAAGAATTGATTCAAATCTTATTGAACAGCAAACGAGAAAATTACGTATGTATGTGGGTTAACTAATTTAAACCTTCCAACAAACGATCAGGCCATAAATACTGAATTTCAAAGTGCCTGCATTATTTTCATCACATTTTATTAAACTCATAACAGACAATATTTTAATTACAGTATCTTGCATGTAAATACTATTTTTTTTAAAGGAAGTTTTAAATTGTACTTCTCTTGAATTCTAGGCAGATAAATACATAGATATCCCGTGTACCCATATCCAGTTAGCAGAATAACAAGAATAGGGGAAAAAATGGTTTGAGAACAAGTTCGCCAATGTTCATGAAAAAATGTGCATCATTTCCACAGGTTAACTACTGACTATCCTCCCAATTTGGTTTGGCATTAATGTGTAAAAAAGCTCACATGATTGAAGAGGCAATTCCACTAAAGATCAACCCGTTTTATGATGCTTACAATTTCCATTTTATTCATGATTCGACGAAGTTCCTTTTCTAGAGTTAGTGGATATGATACAGCCTGTCACCCTGTCATCCAGCAGCAAATAGAGGAACTAATAGAGGAATGAACATTTTTTTTAAAACTTGTGCGCTACAACATCACATCCTATCTTAACTTCGAACTTTTGTAATTTCAAAACTTCAGAGTTGAATGAAAATGAGACCTACCCATTCTTTTAAGCATCCCTTGTTCAACCTGTAGAAGAAATTTAAAGAAAAATTTGGAGTGGGGTTTTAAAAAAATTATATTTTTTTAACAAAACTGCATTAAATTCATGCAGAAATTAAGCAATTTCATTTTTTTCAAATGCAATTTTCAAAATTTCAGACTTTGCCTGAAATTGGACTTGCACCATACTTTTTTTACCAACCTTTCATACAAACAAGGAGAAAATTTAAAGCCATTTTTGGGAGAGAAAAAAAGTTTAAAAATTGCCAATATTTCACGCAAAATTACGCAAATCTACGCAAATTTTTGAAAAAATGTACATCATCGTTTAAGTTCTGTCTTTAAAGAACAGATTCATTTAAGGAAAAAAATCATGATCTTCAAAATTGCAGTTGTAGGAAAGTGCTGAAAAATATTTTTAACGTTTGGAATTTTGAAAAGCCTGGGATTTCAACAGAAATGAGACCAGAGCCATTCTTTCAAGTATCATTTACGTTATCCAATGGCAAAGTTGATCAAAAAACTTGAAGCCAATTTTATGAATCTTTTGAATATGTAATTGAGGTTAAATGAAAAATACCTCCCAAAATCAAAATATTCATTTCAAACTCGCAAGACCAAGTTCCTTCAAATCAATCATTGAATATCAATTTTGGAGAAAATCCTATGAATGGTTTAGGTGCTAGTATTGACAACAGACAGATAGACGGACGGATGAATGGATGGACAGAGAGACATTTTGCCATCAAACAACTTTTTAGTTCACGGACCCACAAAACAGATTCTGACTACACAACATGTTAGAGGAAGTAATTTACTAATACATAAAGGAAAGAGACTTATCTAATTTTTTATTACCAGGGACAACAAGTTAATGTTTTTCTGTTGAAAAATCACCATTTTCCAACAAACAATTACAATACTTTCTTTTCTTACAAAGTAAGGCAAGAAAGTAAAAAAATACCTCAGAGACTTGTGAACTTACCGATGCAAATTTGCAATTGAGGCAAATGTTTTTTCTTCCTTCTGAAAGGAAGTACATGAAGGAATATTTCACTGAAAAAATTCATAATTTCAATTGAGTTGAAAAGAAATTATTGCAGTTCAACTTAGCAATCATGATTCTTAGATACAGTTGATTTTGAAAAGTCCAACTGTATTATAACCAGCAGGTTTCCAAATACAGCTTCATGCATAATTTAATTAAATTAAAAACAATTATTTTCAAGGCAACAAATTTACTTCCTTAGATAAAAAGTAACTTTTACGACACCATGTATACAATGTTTGACCCAAGCTGACTTTTAACACCATTACTTATCACATTAACACACAATTTTTGTGGGTCAATCTCAAAGAGAGAATCATTTGTTATGAGCACTTTTCCTTGTGTTGGTTGATTAAATGCAGGTATTGTTCGAGGACCAAGGACAGGATCTTCATAACGCCACAGGCAAATACTGGAAGGATCTATAAAAAACAACAACAAACATTAATCAATTCATCTCTTGATGAAAGTCTATATCATACATGATGAATAGAAAACTGTGTGAAAGCACGTGCATGAATAGTAGTCATCACATCACTATAAAGAACATCAATGTAACAATAATTTCAGTTTTATGAAATTATTTTTTGATCTCTTCCAATTTACTTATGGGTTATCACAAAAAATATATTAATATTTGAACAAAATTGAAACTTTCCATACGAATAATTAAAATTAAAATCATGTCTTTTTGCCTAAGTTGGTTTGGTTTTGTGTTTTCTTCAAAATATAATTGAAATTCACCACTTTTACACAATAAATATATTTTTTATAGTGTTTATACTAAATATTCAAATAATTCTAAGCAAGCATTTTCCATACATGATGTGAATGGTGTGGCTGTGCAAGACTTCCAATGAAAGAAGTCCTACTGTTGGTGGGGTAGCAGTGCAAAATTTGCAAACAATCAAGGGCTATTGCTATTTTGTATCTCTACTGCATCATTCAATTCCCAATTGTACCCATAAAAAATGGAGACCTTCTAAGAAAATAGATTATTAAATCGAATTCAAAAAATTTGAATTAAAAACTGTAAAAAAATTATTTTATATTCCTCTCCTCCAAAAATATTAAGCTTTTTCATCTGTAAATTCATATTGAAGTAATATAAATACTGTAACACTTATATTGTGGGAGGTGTTCTTAAGAATTGATGTTCAATTTAACAAGAAGTCTATAACACAACGTATTTGACATATTCCTTTATATTAGTTCTTTACAGTACAGTCCTTTTGTTCAGAGGAACTAAACCTGTGAACTGAAAACTAATCTTTTCTTACTCGCACAAACAATGCAACCCCAATAAAGCACAAAGAAAACTAGTACCTAGAAAACTCATTATGATCTTCATTAGCTAAAGCTCAGTTTCATTATTAAATACAAAATTTTCATGCACTACCAAATCCCAAAAAATGCATACAATTCAATTTCATATACTATTGGATCCAAAACAAAAAATGCAATTTGCCATTAAATTATTAAACAAGCATCACTTAAGATAAAAATCTTATTAAATGTGCACTATCAAATTTTATAATTTTTCTAATTTTCTGTTTTACTAATTTAAAGCAGAGAACAATTGATGATTTTCCACGTGTTCTTCAGTAAGATTCATACATTTGTCCAAAAAAGTGTTTTCAAGGTAAAAAATGAACTATTTACATCATACTAAGTAAGAAGAGCATTCTTTAAGACTGTACAGTAATTTGCCATTCTACCATTTCACACTTCCAAAGCCAAAACAATACCATATTAATTCATATGTATGTCTTAACCTTTCCCCTTTCCCTTCTCCTTGTTGAGTGATATTAGATTATGTAATGGGAATTTCCTATCAATCCAAGAAATGGCATGATACAACATAACTCACAGAGCAGTAAGTGATCACTAAAGGCCAGATTTTCATGCAGTAAAACTCTAAAACAGCAGCAAAATCACCAAAATGTGCAAAATCATGCAATAAAAAGACTGTGCAAAACTGTGTTATGTGCCCAAGATTCTCTAGTTAATCCACTTATCAACTTATTTTTATATTTTGAATGTGATATTTAAAGTTAAAGAAATATTATAATTTTAGAATTTTTATGATAATTAAGTTTGGACATATTGCTTACACAACACAAAATTAAATAAGCATAAAACACGAAGTAAATACAAAAACAGAAAAATATAAATATATCCTCAGAAATCAAAAATTTATGTTCCAGAAGAAATGTTCTTAATTGTTTTCAATATAATTTACAATTATGTACATTTCCAAATTATTTTCTGAGAAATTATATCTTCTATAAACTAATACATATGTTTCAGACAGAAAAATCTTCGTCATACATACATACCTGTGTGCTTGCCAAGCCTCACTCTGGCGTACGTGTGCCCACTGCTAAAAGTGGCCAAAAACTTCGTTCATTCTCGCTTATACCTTGCAGGGCAATGTCTGCTCCAAGAAATTTGAAACGCAGTGCATCGTTTTGCTAAACTTTACGCCAGATCATAAGATCAAATGTGACTCGCACATGCCGTCTCATGTCAGCAAGTTCAGTGAAGAGTGACAAAACAGATATATGAGCATAGAATTTGTTGAGCAACCAAGTGCTGCGGACATATCCCTGCTGCAATATCTCAGAAATTTTAATTACACAAAAAGCATCATGAAAGGTACAAATGCTCAGTTCATTGGGCAACATAATGCAAGATTGATCCTTATTAAATGGCTCTCGGTTTTCACACACCCTCCGAATGTAGTGCTGGGTTATGTCATAAAAATGTTTTTCTTAAATGAAACCTTTAAAAAAGATAAATTAAAACAAGTTGATAATAATAAAAAATTATATTTTACACAATGAAACTATGAATCTTGCAAATCCGTCCAGTAAAATCGCAATACATACAATATCTTGCAGTAACCTCCCAAACATGCAATTTTATGCAAAATAAAAAAGTACTAAATATCTATTTCATGATTCAAATTTCTGTCAATTTCAAGTTAGTAAAGAAAAGATGCACTAACATAGAATTCTGGTCTTTAGTGATCACTTAACAGACACTTGAATGCCTGCAAGGATTCAACTTTTTCATACATGACTTGACAGTGGTCGGCTGCTCGGCAAGCAGCCTCTCACTAGATCCTTACATTTTCTGGTTTAATGCAATTGCATATTTTCCAATAACTACAAAGCAAACACATGCAAAACTGACATGCATGTTAACAAACCCCTATACTTATTCTTATGAGGATAGACATGCATGCACGCTTTTCTCTGGAGCACAGTAATTACCTCTTTTCATTCCTGATGTTTTGATGAAGCGAGACACTACTTTCTCAACGCTGTCCCCTGAACTGATGCTCACGGCATGAGTGAAGCACCCACTGTGTGGTTGTGGATTCACAAAATTAACAAGGACACCTGGTCGGGTTGTTAGTGACAAGTTGGGGTTTCCAGGACGACATTCTTCTCTTATGTTCTCAGGAGCTTCATCAGTGTATTTCAAAATTATTTCTTCAAGCTGAAATTTTAAAAATGCTTTCAATCTGAATTTTCCTCAGTAATTAATCATCTTCCATTTTTGCATTCGTAACATTCTTCTATTTCAATGACTATTAAATCAAATGTTCAATTACAAAAAGAAACTCTCAAATTTCTATTGAATGGAAATTAAATGTATTTCTTTTCTTTTTAACAATAAGTTCTAATTCTAAAACTGACTTGGAAACCATTGTCATGAAATAGAAGAAAATTAAAAAATAAATATATAAGCACCACACTACAATATTTCTAATTACACAAGTAATTGCACTAAAAACATCTTGTAAATTTCAATCACTTTTTAATTCTTAAAAAGAGTAGTCAATCTTTGGGAATTGTAGGTGTTACAGTAAATTAATTAAACCAGCAATTCTGAATAATATCTAGCCATTAGCATACACAATATTTACTGAATCTGGTGATTAATGAAGCTGATTTAATAACTTTATTTAGGCACAATATTCATCTGACTGAAGTCTAGTCATTGTGCATAATAGTTAATTTGAACTGGTCAAAGTAATATTTCTCTTCTTTTGAGAGTTGAAAACTTGAGGAAAGTCACGTCAATAAACGGCATGTCAGTCACATCCATTAGCTTCGTTGGCAGCACTAATGGCCAACTACCCATGAAAGCAATGGCATCTTAATCAACGTAATTCTGTGCAAGGGGTGCACACAATTCATGCTTCGTTATGCATATCCAACTTTGAAACAAGGTTCCACCCTTACTTTTACACACGCACTTGCTTGCTGCTGCTGCTTTTTTTTTTTGGTCCAAGCTCCAGTTGGCCTGCATTGCTGACCAGTGTGTGTGGCGAAAGGCATGATTTGGATGTGGGTCACTGTAACTCAGTGTTTTGGAGGACAATGATAGAGAAGATTTTTGATGAAGGAATCATGTCAGACAGGAAACTCTTCCACCCAAATATATAATCAAATTTCTGCATAATTCCTATTTTTCCCCTCATACATGTCAAATATTGTGGATATACTTTTTCATTCAGACAGGATGAGTTATGTACAATAATATCTAGATAATAATGATGAACATGTAATTTTTGTAGAATTAAAATTATAGTAAATATGACAAGACATGTTATTTTCGAGCTCATGTCTGATATAGAGTTTGTTGTTCTTACTGAATCAAATTTATACATGGGAAAGTGGCCATGTCAAATCAGACGGAATTTCCCTGAGTATCTTAATATTTATTCAAACTGTTTTGATTCAGAGAAAAAATAAGCAAAACATTTTTTTCAAGACTTTTAAAAACAGAAGGTGGAAGCGAAAATAACCCTTCTTTGTACTAAAAGAGATGGTTTTAGGAGACTAGATTGCAAAGCGTCTTTAAACTGTTTCTTTGTCATTTTAAGTTTCTTTTCAATACTTTTAGTTAAATGCTACTGTTTTTAATGCCTTGAAGAGTTTCTGAATCAATCCAAAAACTTACGAAGCAAAAAACCGGCTTACAGCTAAACAAAAATTAGTAAAATACTAAAAATTCCTTTTTCCAAAAAATTGATTTTTAAGTTTTTGAGCTTAAAATCACAAGGAGTTTGAATGCTAAAACATAAAAAATATTCAGAGCCACCAGTCTTGATTTTTAAAGCTTTCGTCATTTTAAGTAGACACCCTATATTTCAGTTTTCGCATTTATAAAATACATTGCAATAAATGAATAACCACTGGATAATCATAACATATCACTTCCATGGCCTGTTGTTGGTCACAATTTTAAGTCCAACTCTAATACGTGCATTCTCCCTCATTCAGTTATATACATAATATTGATCATTTTACGGGAGTAAACTGCATTAAGTATTATTTATGTTCCAAGCAATAATTCTATTCCACAGAATACTTACACCTAATGTATTCTCCAGGTAGAGTCTATTATTTGCCAGAACATTCATTTCATCAAAATCAAGGGTCAAATTAAGAGCATCTACTCCAATACTCTGCATTTTCTCTTTAGTAGTTTGGACAAATGGCATAACACGTTTCATATACTTTTTCAGCTCGGCTTTCGATCCCATTTCTGAAGAAATACTTCTGTTATCTGGCAATTCACCATGTTTCTGAAATAGATTAATTGTGATAATACATGAAAATAGTATTAATTCAAAAATAAAAAATTGTTCTCTTAACTTACATCGTAGAGTTCCTTCATTGTAGTTAGGACAAGACTCTGCCACCGAGGAAAGGTTTTAGCAACATACACAACTGCACAGGTTGGCTTTTCTGCTTGACTAACTTCTTCCCCTTTCCGAGGCTTCCTAGGTTGTGTTTGGTTCTTGATGTAAATTCTGAATGAATGTGCAGTGTCCATGAGATAAGCAGATGATTTTATGAGAATTTCATCCACAGGTCCTGCCTGTGGCCAAGGGGCACAAACGATGCTTCCTTTCTGAAACACGTTTCAGATGTTTCAAATCAATGTTTGTACAATAATAAATATGAAATTCCTTTTTCAATGAGTTACCAGTCTAAGAAGCATACTGTTTATTGACGAACATGATTATGTTTAGTTATAAGCACATATGCAAATGAAAACTTCAAATGATTTGACAATTTAGATAGCTTGTCCAAGCTCAATCAGGTGTTACAATTGTCAATAATAAACAAGAAAAGAACATTATGGAACATATGACGAATTGCAGAGAAGTAAGGTCAATTTTAACATAGCAAATGCAAAGTAATTATGCAAGCATAGAGTTACAGAAAGATATTTCATTTTAAGAATATTTTAAGCTTGCTACACACTTTTACTCTTGAAATTGGGACTACTTTTGTCTAAGATGTCAGATAGAATTAGCTGAGTTTTGTGATATACTATCAAGTGTCAATTTTTAATTTCCCGTATACATACATGTATATGGAGTGATATATGTAGTAGAGGCAAAGCTGCGGAAAACCAATCCCCTAATACCAAAACGTGGTTCTTTTCAAAATGTCGATCTGTGAACACTACTAAAGCCTATACCATATGTAGGATTTTGGCCGAATTGAGGAAACTTCTGTACATCCGACTCGAGTCGAAGTTTTGCGATTTTGAAAAACATTCTTTAAAATTTGGGAGTACATTAAATGAAGCCCTCCGAACATTTTCAAAATGTTCTCAAAAACAGCTCCAATTTTTTTTTTAAATATCTTGCCAGAATAGAGTAACATACACTTGTGGCATAGGTCCAATTTTCACAACCAACTTTCAATTTTTGAAAACTTCAAAACCACCAGACACCAAAAAAAAGCATGTTGTTTTTTTTGGTGTCTTCCTAAAACTAAAGAATTAAAGATCGAGATTTTTCCTTCATATAAAATTTGTTGTTCATAAATTAGTGCTTTTATGAAGGTCGTGAACATTCTTTTAAGTAGTTTTTGCACAATATTTCGTGCAATATTTGCAATTTAAAAAAATAACAAAAACAAGATTTTCTCAAAAAGTACTCCAAATTTTTACTTTAAACGTTTGGTTGAAATAGTACTAAATTCACTTTATAAGATGACATAAACACCATATTGCTTCATTCTTTTCTTTTTTCAAAAATTACAAAAATGTAACTTTTTTTAAATTGTTTGTCACGTTATTTATTTTTTCATTAGCAGTAATTTCTTTACAATAATGTATTTATGAGTATTTGGAACGCCAAATGCCATTTTTTTTTTTTTTTTTTCCAAAAGCAGATCCAAATTTTTCATTCAAACTTTTCCAACACATAGTGTTAATTACACTACTTATGATGACAAAGAATTAATTTTGCTGAATTAATTTGTTTTGTTTTTTTAAATTACACAAATGTAATGTTCCTAAAACATCTCTCATGCCTTTAATAAGCACATTTCCAGCGATTTGTAAACACTATTGCATTTGTGATGAAATGTTTGAAATGATATCAAATAAAAATTTTCTAAAACTCAATAGTTTTCTGTGAAAATGTTTCAAATTTTGAATTTACAATAGCTTTTAAATGCCATTTTCTTAAAAGGGTCTTTAAATGTTTCGAAGAAACTTGCCATTTAGGGCATTTACTGTTCTTTAATATTGTATTATGCAATTAAATTTTTACTATGCAATCTGTCTAATGTGTATGTATGACGTACTTTCATGTTGCAGCAACTTCTACAATTGTCAAATACATTAATTTGGCTCGGCCAGCGTGGGGAAGAAAGAGATAATGAGAGGGAGGATAAAACAAAAGGAAATTAGAAGAGAAAACTAAACAAGAAGGACAAATAGAACAAGCCAAAAAGGAAAAAGTTAGATAGGAAGACAAGCAAAAACGAGCTTTAACTTTCCCCTATACTGTATTTTGAATCAAATATTCCCCATTTTTATTTCTCACCTGCATAGCAGTACTCCAAAAACAAATTTATACAATATAATTAATGTGCTAAAGAATAAGCCCCGGATTCTTGTGTTTGAACCTTTTCTAATCCTAAATTCTTAGACACAAAATGCAGATGTGGCTTTTTGTTTTATCAACAAATAAAATATTTAAATTCTGTAGGGCATAAAAATATCTGTTACGATCTAAAGAACCTGTATTGAGAAGATATTTATTTTATTTTTTTATTTCAATAATAGCACAACTGAACTAATTTAATGTTTGTTTCATACTGTTTTCGTAGTGCACTGTATCTAGTAAATTACAGAATTGGTGAGAGAAGACTCTCTACCCTCAGCAACTAAATATAAGACCACATTCAGCAGAAATACCAACATGGGCAAGTCATAAATAAAGGACTATTTTTAATTATAAAAAGCTCTGTACTTCACTGTTCAGTTCTAAGTGTTCAAAATAATACAGAACTGTTTAAAGTGGCAACTTGAAGACACAGGAATACTAGTAGAAACCAGTTTGATATTTTATTTCCTTTGGTGTAAAAATATTTTTTTCAAATAAAATTTTTAAAACCCATAAAAACAGAAAATATTAATTAAAAAACTTAATTTTCAATTTTTACCACCTAAAAATCTACTGCTTATTAATCAATACAAAAAGAAGCCAAAAAACTCTTCACATGCAAAATAGATACTACCTTGCCAAGGAGTTCCCACACATGCTCTGCCACATGAGGGCAGATTGGAGCAAGCAGCAGTGCTTGCACTTCAATGAACCTGAGAATGAGGTCTTGGTGCATGCCTTCAAGGTATGTCAGTTCCCTGTATGTATCTCTCACGGTTTGCAATTCAAAGAAGCCTGTACGAAGAGCTTCCTTAAATAACATCTTATTGTAATTGTTATCGGTTTCTTTAATTTTCAAGTTCATTTCACTGGAAGAAATAAAGAATAGAGTTCAACATCCATTGGTACAACAACAATAATGAACCAAAGCAATTACAAGTTACTAACCTGAAGAAAACATTATCATTGAAAGAATATGACCCCTTTCGAAGAGAAGACTTAGTTGCGATTATCTCCTTTACCCATTCAATAAATGTATACAGCCGAAGGATTCCTGAAACAAAAATTCTCTGGTAATAATGCTGGAATACATTTTCAAAATATTCCATGATTTAACAGAATATATATTTATATTGCTTCTCGTACTGTTTGCATACTTTTTCATATTAAAGCATAATCCATGTAAGTTTTAAGCAAGGAGTACAAGCGCAACTTAAATGTACAGAAAAGGGAAAAAGACTTTAACATTGTGGACAACAATCTCAGCAGATAAACACATAGGCAGCAGATAGCGTTTTTGTATTTCCCAACTTCAGATATCTTTACAAAAATAATAGAACATTAAAGTTAGCATCTTCAGTGCAGCGTATGCAAATGTAAGCATGAGCGAAAGAGAAGGTGGGACAAGGATAAGGAAAGAAAGATAGTGTGTAGTCTATGGCTCATTCATGTAGGAACTGCTCTAGCATTTGTTTGGTATTGATTCATGTATATCATTTGAAAAATTGGCACAATTTTCTACAGCACTTCATGACTTCTACAGTATTAGTAGAATATGAGTAAGTAACACAATTGGTAACATTTTAGGTGGATCAAATAGTCGCATTCCTCATTTTTCAGCATCTTTTTACTTTTCAGTCAAATTTTACCAAGGAGTCAGAGAGTACTGGAAAGAAAGTGCACATATATTTAAAATAAAAAATAAATAAAATAGTTTTTCTAGAATCAAATATTTTTTTTCCTGAGCCAAAGAAATTCATTTTGTTTTCTAGAATTACTACTCTTGACATGGTATTTTGAATGATAATAGTGTTCCCTACTATATAGGATGAGTCACATAACTTTAGCACCTTCAGTTTTTGAACCGTTGAGTTAATACAAGGCAATTTTCATGAAAGTGCATGTATACATATTTTATCATAAAAGACGAATCCAATGATATACTTATTGTGATATGAAAGACAAGAATTTTTTTTAGACTTGTGTTTAACAGATATGAATCTAACATATTACAATATTTATATCAATAGGCTCGTCATACTAGGCAAAAAAATATTTATAGTTTCATTTGAAAATTATTAAAATCATGTTTCTAATTTTTAAAAGCATATATCAATGAGTGCTACAATTAAAAGAAATAAAACATAAATCTTACCAGCATCAGCAGTTTTTTCCACAAAGTTAGCATCTTCAATGGAGTCCCCAGAATCAGCTAAACATAATCTTGTACCATCAGCACTAAACTTCTGCAGAGCCTCTGACAAGGTTAGAAAGTTTCCTTCAGACTTGGACATCTAAAACATGAAAACAGTAAAGAAACTTCATGCTTCCTTCTCTACCAAAATAAATTAATTTCACCATTGTTACTAACTAGACCTATTACCTTGGCAGAGTTCAGCAAAAGATGGCCATTAGCTCGAATGCCTTGTGGCCATTTCTTTTCATCTTCAGGCCACATTGCACAGTGATTGTATAAGAAAAATGTTAAATGGTTCTGAATAAGATCTTTCCCGGAGCATCTCAGATCAACTGGGTACCAGAACTCAAATTCCCTCTTCATTGCATCCAAATTGCCTTTAGAAATAGTAGTTGTCTTTGGAAAAGGGGCATTTTTGAAAAAGATGTAATCCCACACCTCAGGAGTCATTTGTTCTGGCCTTAAGAAAGAAAATACAATTAATTATTTTCAGAAATTATTCACATAAGTGATCTCCATTACAATAGAAAACTATTTCATTACCAATCTGAGTAACCATTCCTATATACAAGGTGTGTCCCAAAAGTAAGTTGAATGACCTTGCTCCACCAAAGCAAACCACTAGCAATGCATGTGCAGTGACGGGAAAGGTGGTGGTGGGGTTTCTGGAAGTCAATGACACCCTCATTAGTTGCCTACAGGCTGTTCCACAGTGTGCCTCACTGCAACCCTTGATTAATTGGCTTGTCAGAATTTGCCACTCTTCAAGAACCAGCATTACGCAATAAACTTTTGTGTTGCATTCAAGAAAATTGGCCACAAGATCGTTGCCATGCTGAGGAAAGCTTATGGCGATAATACTATGTCCCAAAATACGATTTACTGCAGGCACACAATGTTCCAGAAGGTCTGAGAGGACGCTAAAGACTACTCTGGAGACCCATCAACATCACATTTCGATCCAAATGTGAAGAAAGTAAGGTATATGTTGAACTCTGATCGCCATCAAGTGTTAGAATGCTGGCTGATGGTGTAATATCGCAAAAAGTACTGTGTATCGCATTGTTATCAAAGATTTGGGCATGGGGAAGATCTCCACAGAGTTAGTCCCTAGTATCTGCAATAAATCTTTTTTCTTGGATTTACTCAACTTTCTTTTGGGACACACCATAAAGAAAAGTAACCGATCTTAAATGACATTTAATATTTTATTTATTTCATAATACAACGAATTAACAGATAATGAGAACCAGCTCCTATCTTCATTCAGCTTGTGAAAGTTGTCCCTCTCCAGGTATCTCTCCCCAGAAGGGCACCATCCCAACCACCAACTCTAAGCTTCTGACATGTGGTAGTGTGTCCAAGTGTAAGTGTGTGTATAGAAGAGGAGAGGATAAGATGAACGAAAGATCACACACAGTCCATGAACCATTTGTTTAGAGTACTGCTCTGGCATTCTCCTTTGATCGGAGGAATCTCAGTAAACTACTGATCATAACAGTCATCTGCTAGAATTCCCCTCTAGATAGCAGCTAAATTTGACCTAGCTATTGCTATTAATTGTCATGAGACTATCACTGCCGGGACTCAAAACCTACAACTTCCCAGTCAGAGTCAGCAGCAATGGTGGGCTAAACTCAGCCAGTCATTACTTCTTTAAAGTTTGTTACGCATCTATATTTTGAAAAAATCAAGGATGCTGTTTGTGGCTTATATGCATAATTGTATAGGGCGTTATGAATGTGATTTTAGATGGAAAAATACTCAGAAGGATGGTGCTGTGGTCAGCATATTGCACCTGGGGCGCGCGCATGAATGCGAGCTACTGGCGCGGTGCGCCGCCAGCTGCATGGGAAGCCTCGAGGCGAGGCTCTCCAGGGCCTCGCCCCCTACTCAAGGGGCGGCGGCCACCAGCCCAAAAGGCCAGTCGGGGTCTCCGACAGCAACTTGTGGACGGTAACCTACACCGCACGAGTCAACCCGAGAGTCGCCTACGCGGCAGTCGGGAGGGTCAGAGTGCGGCGTGGACCGCGACGAGACGCAGGCCTTGCCAGAGGGCGCTCGGGAAGCCACGGAGAGAGGAGGAGCAGGTCGCTCGTTCCACGGAAGGCCCAGCCCCGGGGCACTGCACAGACGCGCACACAAGCACTCTATATAGTGGGAGTGGGATATTGTTGACTCCCAAGATTTCTAACTGTAAAGTCCATGTGGAGTGAATAAAGTTTGTTAAGATTTTCTTCTGTTTCTTTCTTCTTCTTCAGATATGTTATTTTAATTTAGGTACAATAGCTTTGCAAGATTTAACAACATTGTACGCAGCTTTGCTTGGACAAACGGACAAATTGCTTTGGACTGAAACAGACGTAGTGTGTTTCAGTTGTTTTTTCAATTGCTTGCAAATTCATATCATAACGGTGACACTTCAATATAAAATAGTCGTAGTGTGTCTTAAGCGAACGGTACACGAGCGCTCTTGCTGACGCGCGTCGCCTAGCGATCGTCGCGCGTTATCATGACTGTGTACGAGTAGCGTGAGTTGTGGGCACAACGCACTTCGCCAAGTCCGCCCGTGCGCCGTTTCGCATAAGATGCAGTTAATCTGCGACACGCGTTAAGCGAATCGTGTGCGCAGGCATCGAAACACATGTCCTTTGACATAGGTCTAAAGGACTGGCTGTTTAAAGTGCGAAAATCAGTGCTATCTTTTCCACCAGGTATGCCTACGCCTGTCCCACATGTCTTAAGTAACAAGTAATGTACTTCAGCTTCCAAATCAATGACCAGTACATCAGCTTCTGATCTCGATCAGGTTTTTTGTTCAGCTTCCGTGATCCACTGAGCCAATGCTGAGATGGCCCCTTGTTTTATTCTGGACATAAATATTGCTTCACCCTTTGCTTGTAGAGATAGGAGTGGAGCTGGGGGGAGTACTATTTTGTTACCAATACAAACAAATAAAATATGTAGTTTGTTTACTGATACAAATAAGTTTTCATTAACTTGGGAGTGAAAATGTCTGGTTTTCGAAAATTGTTAACTTTAAAAGTTGATTCTTTTGAAACTTTTATTAATCATTCAACTACTTGTAGTTGAAAAGTTTAAAAGAGATTCTAGAACTCACGAAAACATACTGCTCTCCCATGCCACTTTTCGCAGTCCCATATGTCATTTTTTACTGTTCTTTCACTAAATAAATCAAAACTAGAGTGTAAAATTATTAAGTTTTTTGTTGTTGTTCTTTTGGCTCATAATATGCAATTTTAGTTATGTGTTTTTCTCACTTATACATTTTTCCCTTCAGTTCCCTGAAAAATGTTTAAGCAAAGTTGTATTTAAATAGGCAACTGACTTCCAACATTTCAGATAAAATAATTTAAGTCATCTTTGTCAACTTAGATTTATTCAGAGAGCCAGCTTTTCACAGTTTTGCTGTCATCAGTGGTGAAAGTCATGTATCTTATGAGGTGAAAGTCAAAGTGCATCAGCATTCCCACAACTCCCACATTTTACTTCAAAGAAGGGCTGCTAATAATGAGAATGCCAACAACTACTAGGGCTGCTTATTAAAAATATCAACATTCAAGTTACGAAGATGTAAAAACTACAACAAACTTTGTGTGACCTAACCCAAAGATTTTAAACCAACCAAACAAACATTCATCGCCACGTAAAATAAGGCAAATTCAATTCAATTCAATTCATTTCCACTTACCGAATCTTAAAAGCATTATTTGCTGTTCCTCTGAAAGTTCCACCTTGCAAGAAATGAGCCACAGTGTAATAGGCCATGTAAATGGTTGAATCTGATAACGACTCAATAAGCCATTGCTCATCCCAAGGAAGCTTAGTACCTAGAAATGATAACAAAATGCACATATGAACTATAAATGATATACGCATTCTGATGTTCTTATCTTTCTCGGAGGCACCACATCCTTGACTTTCGACTGATGCTAAACCCATTCAAAAACTTCCTCTCCAGTGAATCCCAAAGGTCACATCTTTATCACGACTTTTCATATTAGATATATTAAATATAGCAAAAAGTTTGAGAATTTTTTTTTCTTTCAGATAAGCTTTAAGAATCAAATTTCAACTTCAAAAATAATATGCCATATTTACCCAATTATAAAACGAGTTTTTTCCCCTAAAAATCTCATTTGAAATCTACGGGTTATCTTATATTTTACATATTAAACCTAGTCAATTAGGATTTAGGTTTTTACATTGCCTTTCAATGTCTTGAATCATTGATATAAATGTAGACTTAACAATAGGCTGCAGAAATGATAAAAATTTCACATGTATTTATAATATCTAATTATTTTTGTGGACATATTCTCAGCATTCACAGCAAATTAGCCAGGCAATTCAGACAAATAGTTTCGAATGAATTGGTAAAGAGAGAATCTTAAACAAATGGGATAGTACCTAATAAAACACAACGTGAAAAGGAATAAAAATCGTTGCAGAGATTTTGTTACATGATGCATTGACAGCCAATGCCACACGACTCTTGGTTTGTTTTGTCAACCCCCAGCACGTACAAATCTGTGATAGAAACGAAAACATTCCCGTTGATACAAGTGCACATTCTACATCCAAACACAGAAAAAGATGATAAAATATTTTTAGCAAAAACTGCAAACACTTCCAAAACTTGCAAACGTGCTGCTCCTATCCAAACGTCCTGCATCTATGAAATTTAGAAATGGAGATGTTCAAGCTAACAGTTCACAACTCAATCACACAAACATTAACCAATGCGAAGGATATTCTATGAAAGGACAGATTAAGAAAAGCCATGAACAAAAGTGGGACAGAAAGAAAAATCTGGTGACACAGAGGGAAACAATGCAAATGTCAAGAAAATTTTGTGAAAAAATTGATAAAGTAAGGCCATTAACAAAAGCAGGATGGGAATAAAATCTGGTGAGACAGAATGAAATGTACTTAGGGTGAACCACATTAAAGAAGACAAATTTAGAGAAGTCTCAAAAGTCAGTGGATGCCACAGTATACAAGGAGGCCAAAAAGAAAGAAACAATGTTACATGTGAAGATAAAGAGGGTAGTAAAAAAATGATTATGACAATTGTTATGCAACAAGAAAATAGTGTTAGCTCAGGCAATAATTTTCAACAAGACAATTTTCAGTGTCAACTGTGAATTAGGCAATTTACAATTTAATGTTAACTAAATACTGCATAATCCCGCTTTTACATTCCTGCAATTTACACTTCTACAACATTTCTCGTCGGTCTCATCAGTTTCCGTAAATGCATTACATTTATAAATACCCTCTCTTAACGATAGTATAACTTCAATTTTCCTACAATTCGCAGCAGTCTGCTTGCCACAGCATCATCTGTTGCCAACGCATGTTGCATGCTAAAAGCTAGACAACGTGCGTTATTTTAACTTGCATTCTATCTTGAGCATCGTGCTTGCGCTGTGGGCACAACACATGTGGTGAAGGTGCTCATGTGCCATTTCATGTATGATACAGTGTTAATCTACAATGTGTGTTAAGTGACTCATGTGCACTGGCATCCTTGCAGCTGACATCAGTGTTAGGTAACGTGTGTCAATGCAACACTCGTGTGACAAGGTAGCCTCACAATTCATTGTTTATTTTACATCATCCTCCTACACAATTTCAGTTTCTCATTTTATAATAAATGAAATTTTTTCCCATCCTTTAATAACTCAAACATCAAAGTACAGGATTCTCTGAATGTTTTTTAACTGTAAATTTGTATCATGAACCTTCTATCTATTATTTCATAAATAAATTTTAAAAAATACTACATATAAATCATTACAAACTGCCAAAAACCAACTTTTTATTGAGTTGGGGAAAATATAAACTTCACAATTTTTCTTACAATAGAAATACCATTCTCCTTCCTTCATCCAACAATGAGTACATTGTTACATCATCAAAGGCTACCATCAGCGAGTGGCAGGGACTCGTAAGAGTGTCATTGCGACATTTTAAATTTACTTCTCTTTGGTGTTAATATGCCTTCAATTTCTGATGTCATAAATTTCAGTTTTTTTTTTTTAAGGTCGCATCAACTACTAGGTCATTAGCGACTACTATTGCTTGTAACGGTATGGTAATTGTGGGTTAACACGATAATGATGATGATAGGGGATGAAAGGACGAAACACAATACAACCATGCCCGAGGTGGGACTGGAACCCACGATCCTTCGGTCCGAGTTCGCTACGGCACTACTGCCTTAGCGATCTCAGCCACCGGATCGGCCATAAAATTGATTATTATATACCTAATACAGCACGTTAAACCATATTATATTTCTTATTGATTGTGTGAATCTATATACACTGTAAGCTAAAAACATTATGCTTGGAACCGTTATGAGCAGCTACCTGAATGTATTAAAACTTCCAACATGCAGCAATAATGCCATCACATTTTGTTGCTATTTACCATGTCATTAAATTGACTAATGTGGAGGATATACACCATATTTACCTGAATATAAGACAAGGTTTGTTTACTCAGTATCTCATTCAAAATACATGGGGGTCATAATATAAAATGATAATCTGAACCTACTTGCGATATATTAGAAATATATGGGGTCATCTTATATTCTTATATTCACAGATTATCTGTCATTCCATGCCAAGACACTCCAATGCCAACATAAGAATAAGTTGTAAAAGTGATAATTATCACATGTATAATACAATATGAATATCTAATTGTATTCACAGACATATTTTTGGTATCCACTATAAATTTGCCAGGAAAACTATTCAAGGATTGTCTAGTCAAGCATCATATCTTGTAAGATCTTGATGCACAATCCTTCATAGAGTAAGTTAAGTTAAGAATAGTTTTATCTCTCAGAGAACGAGCATTCTACTGGGTCTCGCAAGCTTTTAGCCTTCACTAATATATCCTACTTACCAAGTCCATATGTACGAGAACATGCATATTCATGAAGCCAATTCAAACATGCATTGAAATTCTTTTTCACTTCCTCGTGGTAGGTATTCATGTTCTCCAGTGCTCTATCAGCCTGTGCTCTCCACTTCTCTTCTCCGTAGTCAAGATACCATTGATTGCATAATGCTACAACACATTCATCACCAGATCTACAAAGATAAAAATGTTTTAGTACTAAAGTTGAACAATGTTTTTCATGTTTCCTCACTATACTTGTCATTAGTGAAGAAATAATACGCATAACTGACATTCTTGACACCTCTGATCTTGGCATATCTGACATTACAAGAATGAGCTGATAGGGTAATAAATGTAATTTAACATTTATTGTGTTCCAACACTTTTCATTTGAAATTGCTATCCCTATTAGCATTAGGGATCGAAAAAAGAAAAAAAATATCAGAATGTCAGTTACGAGGTATTGTTTCTTAATCGACAATGTGCTATTTCAACACAAAATAACCAGATGTATAAATATGACAAGACAAAATCCTTCATCACAGTTGAACCAAATACAGAGAAACCTCTTTCACAAGTTTCATGGGACCATAGGAAAAATAATGTAAATTGTGTAAATACTTGGAAGTGAAAATAACGGGATATGATTTTGTTCCTTCAAAAGAATGAGTATAATGCAAGTATAATGCATACAAACAATAAGCATTACAATTTGCTTTGATATGCAGAATTAGATAGATAGATAATCAATATTTCAAGGTCAAATAGAATTCCGACAAATGTACATCGAAAATCACAGTCATATTTACACTAAAACGTAGTGAATTTTAAATGCTGCAATGACACTTCCGCAAATTCTCGCCAACTAATTGTTGGATGAAGTGAGGGCAATGATATTTCTACCTTTAGAGAGAGAAATGTGAAGTTCACATATTTTCCGACTCAATAAAAATATTGTTTCTGGCAATTTGTAATTATTTCCAACTATCAAATTTTATAATTTTTTTTTATTTCGAAACAATTTGAAAATGAGTATAGACCTAGCTTATGAAAAATGATTTTCACTGTATGTAAATCTTCTAGTTTTTATGTAACATTTCATAAAAGTCTTTAGAATATTGCATCATTTCAAAAGTCTTTCTATTATGGCAATGTTAAAAGCGGGAAAGCGCAGTGACAGTGCAAGTTGGGCATGATCCAAAGGGCTTTCCTAACTGCGTGGACTTTGTGGCAAGCAGACTGTTGTAAATTATGGGAAAATAGAAATTATACTAAAGTAAAAGTGGGGTATTTATAACATTGTGAACATACAGAAACGGATGGGACCAACAAAAAATGTTGTGAATGCCGGAAAAACATACATAGAGGGAATGTAAAAGCAGGGTTTTACTGTACATTTTCTCAGATTTTCACCTGATATCACACTTTACATGCCTCATTTAAATTCCATGTTATTCTTTACAAACATTTTTTATTCATGATGAAATTACGCATTTACAATAGATTTTCTTTATATTTACATATTTTACCTATTACTACATTTTTTTTTTCTCCTTTTGTTACATTTTAATGCGTTCGTTTAGTGACACACAACCTTTCAATCACAAGTTTGCCAATATATGCTTCTGTGACCAATAGATTTTCGCTGTGAATTTTCAAATTTACCCCACTCACCTTCTTTGGAAACACATATTCAAAATCTAGAGTGTGAAGATGATTTTACAGCAGAAGTAATCTCTACCATGTGTTTACTCATGTTTTATAGAGCCCATGCAAAACTCAATTGGAAACGGACAAATATTTTTTACAGATCGTTTGTTGTCTTTTTGTGCTGCACCTAACCAAGAAACACCTGTCAGGAATGCAAAGTTGATGAATTCATTCATGAAATCTCGTGCATTCAACTTGAAAAGAAATACTCCTTTTGGATGTGATGTAATCAGTATGTGGTAATTGTTTTCAGTAAATTGAGTTCAAGTAGAAAAACAGTGTTAGGGTGGGGGATATGTTCCCTTTACCCCACCACTCCAAGATACATTACTGGCTACACAATCCAACAAAGGCTACATGCAAACATTTGATATATTATGTATCTTTCATTTCATACTTTTCTTTCATTTTGAATAAACGCATATTATGAGGCAAAGACTAAGATATAATATTTTCTTTCAACTGCTTCAATCGATTTTAAGACCTCCTCTGTGAATTTTCGCACTAAAATTTGAAAATGCTTGTACGAAGCAATTTTCAAACACAATAAATTTTTTAAAAAATACTTTCTACATTTTTTTTACATATTACTAAAAAATAAACACATAAATATGTACATATTCCTCTTTTTCTATTACAATAAATTCTGAATACATACCTTGAAATAATCTGCTTCTCTGGCTCATAATAAATCACAGCTCCTCCATTTTTAATTAAATCTTTCTGAAGAGATTTCTTTACATCTTGTATTTTCTTTCCTTTATATTCACCAACAAGCATAATCTGTTTTACAAAAATTCATAAAGAAATAATTTAGGAGAAAAGTAAAGACAAAATATAATAAAAGATACCAAAATGGAATTTTAAAAAAACTTTATGACATATGAAGCTAATTCTTTGCAAGATTTACTACTTGTTATTTGATAATTCTTTTATATCATTTATCACTCAAGACACAATATAAAAATTATATAATACTTAATAGTTACGTAAAACTACAACAAACCAAATTCTAGGAGAAATAATAATTTAGACAAAAACTCAAACTTTTAAACACCATTCACTTTTAATGTTACAATTCCATCAGCGATTTTCCTTTTGCAATAATACAAAATTTACTGTATTTACCTGAATATAAAATGAGTGTTTTTTCCCCCAAAAATCTTGTTAAAAAATGTGGGGTCATGTTGCATTTGCAGATTAAGCCTAGCCAGTTAAGATTTATTATTTTACATTGCCTTGTCATGTCACATAACTAGTAAATGGTAACATAACAATAATCTGTGATGATAAAAATATCACAAATACAATATGTTACTGGTAGCGACGTATTCTCGTGACCACCTCAGATCCACTGTGAATTTGACTGACAATTGAACCTAATGTTTTTGAATGGGCCAGTAAAGAGAGAATCTTTAACATCTGTGTCATTAAGTGAAATCTGACATGGAAATGAATAAAAAGCCTTGCCAAGATTTTGTTACAAAATGCGCTGATCAACAAGGTTGCATGGGACTCTCAGTTCCTGCCTGGCGAGTGCAAATCTCCATTTTGCAAGAAATGGAAATAAAAATTATTCCATTTATAGATGTGTACATTCCACATTCAACCACAGAAAAGGGCAATATCAAACATTTCTTTAGCAAAAACGTCCCAAATTTGTAACAATCACTCATGTTATCAGCGAAATTGAGGAACGTAATATACAAGTTTGCAGTTCACAACTCAATCACACAAAAATTACACAATGCAAGTTTTAAGTTCACTGTGTTAAAGAATGTGAAAGGAATTCTAATGAATCAGGGGCCACAAACAAAAGCATGACAGAAAGAAAATCTGGTAACATAAAAGACAATGAACTTAGCAGATGTCAAATGAAAAACGTATGCAAATTCAACACTCAAAACTTTAAGGGCAGCCTAAAAAGTCTGAGGCCGCCACCTTGCGGCAGTACCAATAAGAAAGAATATGATATACGTGAAATTGATGAGGGTAGTGACCAAACTTATGTTTATGATGATTTTTAGAAAAGTGTGAAGAAAATAATGATAGCTCGAGCAGTAAATTTTATCATTCTTTTCAACCAATTTACTAGTCAATTAGACAATTTGAACTTCATTTTGACTAAAAATAAATTCAAGTAGATAACATTATTGAATAATATAAATGAATAATAATTAGTTAAAAATTGTAAAAACTCTCAGGAGATCTGTACAAAACTAGGGAGGCATTTTATAATCAAGTAAATACAGTATATTATTTTCCATTGAGAAAAGGGTAAATAAATACAATACTAATTATTATTAATCTTTAATAAGCAAGGCAAATACCATGGAAAAAGACTATTAACACTTGCTGCATCTACTAAGTTAGAACTTAATAGAGTATTACATTTACAACAAAAAATGTAATATACATGAAGACTCAGCCATACTCACCCCATCATAAAACCCTTTGAGGTACACTAGATCTTTTGCCTCTTGTAGCTTCTCCCGATCATTTTGACTTTGAATTTTCAACTTTTCATACACAGTAACTGCACTCAAATTGCCAAATTCCGGAATATCCAAAATGGGTACCTTAAAAAAAATATACATATTTATGAGTTTTAAAAAAAGTAAATTAATATTAATTCAACAATAATGAATTTCAAATATTAGTCTCTGTATCTACCAATTTTAACTGTGCAAAAACCTAACACCATAATGGTAAGTAAATAAAATTTATTACACAAACATTTCAAACTCCAAGGATACAAAATAATATTAGCTGCAACATAAAAAAATGTAGTTATTGCGTTATAAATTGGTATAAAATATCAATATGTATGATATCAAATGAAAGCAAGAGAATCTAAGAAGAAAACTGGTTAATAATTAAGATGAAAATAATAAATGAATCCGAGAGAAAGTATAACAATGGAAAGGGGCACAAATTTCATATTTGGCAACAATTTTCTAAACGTTGCAGTGAATTGTTATCTACATTGCCTTTCTAAGCCCTTTTAGCTGTTTCTTCTTATATTATTTCCTTTAATCTTTCTATATATACTTTATTCATTTAATTATCACAGTACTGTAACTTACAGGTTCAAAAGGAAGAACCATTTCATCTGTTATGCCATATTTTTCTCGGAATTGAGGTTTCTTCTTCAGATCGACCAATGCTGCATAATCATCAGGAGAATCTGACGGAACACTTGTCACAACTCCAGTGCCTTTATCTTCTTTAATAGTCAACATAGGAAGTGTATAAATTGTATCATACTTTGTTAGAGGGGCCTTCAGAGCTGCTCCAATTATAGCCTAGAAAAGTGGAGGGCATTTTACAGAACTGTATACAATTTTACAACAGTTACAATATCTCATACCATGTACCTGCCCTTCAAATTCCAAGAGTATTTCTAATTTCCCATTTTCTTTTGTAAAGTCCTGGTAAGCCATATTTCTAGCAGCCCTCTTTGTACATACAAAAACATCACCATTTTTCAGAGAAAAAGCAATGTATTTCATGTCCGGGCGCACCCAACAATTTGTTTGACCATACATTGTTTCTGGACGAAGTGTGGCCGCAACTAAGAAAATGTTTTTCCCTTTAAGCTTACTGCAAAGAAAACAAAATCAAGTAAACAAAAACCTTTTTACACAGAACAAACAAAAAAACATTAATAAAAAACCATACAAGTTCAGTGTTTCAATTTTTTTCATTCCAAGTAGAAATGAACATATGTACACAAATATGGAGTAAAAATTTTGAAAATGTGCACTAAAATATGTCATGTAGATGTATTTTTGTTACTCAATTAAACCAATACATGGTTATTTCTAATGTCAAGAACAGAGGCTTCCTCTCACTGATGGAGAGATGTTAGAAAAGCTTTTCAGAGTTTAGTTGTTTGTCAGATGATGATTATTCGCATTTTTATGAATCAGTACAATGATGCTGATTCAAACTCAAAAGCAACCTTTGATGTAGACACATCAAGTGAGGTTATTCATTAATGATATGTGAATAATGAAATATTTTGTATGTACAAAAATCCAAAAATAAATCTTGTTCCAAAGATTTCCATGGCAAATGATTTAGCAAGCACTATTTCAATTAATAAAATAGTCATTTATAAAAAAGATTATTTTCTCGATTAATGCCTAAACCTCAAATATGAGGGTGCCCCTTCCCCTGAATCCAAAGCATTATTTTTTTCTTTCTATTTTTCTGTTTACTTTTACTGACCTAATATGTCATATGATAATATAATGTGTACAATGTCATATTATGATCACAAAGAACTAGTTAGAAATAACTTTGAAAAGAAAAAAATATTCAGATCTTTAAGGGTTAAGACCTCAAATCAGTTTTAAATATATTAATTATATACCTTAAAGCAGTTGGAAACGGTTCCAGTAATTTCATTTTAATCAATGTGTACTCTTGTGGACCAACTCCTTCTCCTGTACTTCGATCATGATCCATACAGGGTTGCTGATCGAAAGGAGAATAAATTGTATACCTTTTACCATACATAATTTTGTTTCTGGATTTTAAAGTTAAGAACTGCCACCTTACAAATTGGTCAAAAAACGGATTTGCATCTGTTGTGATGAAGGTTCGCCGCCAATCAACCTGAAATACACTTACAAGTAAATTCTCAATACAATACAAACAAATAAAACAAAACAACAATAAATCTCATAAACATTTTAGAATCACTTGTTCACTATAAACACTTCAAATAAAACAATAATAAATGATAATTTGGCAAACACATGAAATAAATTATTCTGTTAACAAGTTAAGAGAACCAAACTTTTTCTGCGGAAAGAATATTTTCCATGTCTATGAACCATGCTGCCTACCACTAATATCCACATGACTGACATGATCTTATTTCCTTTGACATAGTCATTAGTCTCTATCATTCCCTTAGTACAGGAAATAATATGTAAACAAACATTATAAAATGCATGGGTCTTACATGTAAACCAATACTTCTCAAGTCCTTAACAGCCAATGGAGGAAAATGATCCAGCCAATAAGATTCATCAGCAAAGTTCTTGATTTCTTCATCACTAAGGCCCAAACTCTGCATGATCTGCCATTGGTACTTTCCACCTCCCCCTTTCGCTACTGCTTTACTCTGAAAGAATTTTAAGCAGCACCTTATTACAAAATGTTTCAACTTACATCTTTCAGATCACAAATTACAATAAAATATCTTATACGTGTAGATTAATAGTTAATACGTTGGAAAATTTTAATTTATGAAAGTCACATTTTTAACATTACATATCCAAAAATTGTGTTTTTTAAAGTCTTCACATTCATAGAAAATTTTAGTTTCAATTAAAAAGAAGAATATTGTACATATCCAAATTTTTAATTGATATTTTAAAAGATGAAAGAGAGAAAATAGGGAACGTGGTACACCCTCAGAGAAGCGTGGAAGTGAGGGTTTTCTGAAGCCCTCCCTCAAATTAAGCTACGTTCTCTGATAGAAATGAATAAAACTTGCGGTGACAGGTGATTTTCATGGCACGCCATTAATACGCTTTGTCCCTGCCGCATTGTGATGCCAATTTACTTTCAACGGCAAGTTTTCTCGCTTCGCATACCCAAATCAAACCAAGGCAACGCTTGGGCCTTTGGCTCTCGCATTCACTATAAACATTCTTGAGTCTATCCACTGCATAACTACCAATTCACTTTTATAAGAAAGTACTTTTCAAAAAAACCTCCAAAATTCAAACTGCGCAGTTACCGCCGGAGTGGCACAAAGTGCCGGTTTAAATGACTTACGTAAGTTGTACCATATACTAGACTTTAGCCAATGAATGAAAGATAGTAATTAAAGAAGAAAGACCAAAGAAAAATATGAAGGCACTGAGAAAAGAAATGTTTCTATGCTCTTTACTATTTCCCTAATAATACTAAATGTAAACAATTTTTTAACTTCTTTTTTGAATAGGAATTGGCCAGGAAAAGTACAGCTACAGGATTTATTGCAATAAAATTTATTGCCTCTGCATTCCCAGAATTTATCTTTTACATTGACCCTTTCCGGTCCTTTCAATTCCCTTATAATCCTGATTAACAATTTCTACTACTTTTACGCTTTCCAAAATAAAATTTTCCACCTTTTTTTATCCAGCTGCAAATACTAAACAAATCATGTGTTTGGCTGTACTAACACTAAAAATACTTGACTGTTTGTAATCCAGTAAGATTACACAGGTACAGGTAACAAATATTCCATATTGTTGTCATTTCCTCAGGTAAGTGTTATCACTTCTAATTTTGAAATAATTTTAGTTTAGGGGAAATTACATGTGTGTTGTTGGGTGAATACATTTTAGTAAAAGGTTTCACTTATGGCTTATTATCACCTGTGGTATGTGAAAACACAAATGCTAATTTTACTTCCAATTTAAGTATCATACAGTACTTTTTTTAAGATTTACTTTTTTAAATGCTACTTCCCTTACACTTTCAAACGTACTTTTACTGTAAGAGTTCTGCAATGTAAGTCAAGTATAGTAACATGTTAATTTAAGAAAGTTTTCATTTTCATTTGATCATAAGACAGATTCCATTGAGAAGGAAATAATCATTTTCTTCCAAAAAATGTTTAAAAATGGAATCAGTATATTTGAAGGTGATTTTATTGAACTTATTTTACAATGACTAGATTTACACAAGACAGTTTATATGTATTTTAACAAGTAAATTTCAAACTATTTGCATCACACAAATTGGACCCATTCAAACATTTCATTCTTTGGAAAATATTGTTTTAAAAGTCAAAAATAACTTCAAATGGTCAAACTCTGTGCTATGCCTAACATCATATAGCTCCAGTTCTGTATGAGTAAATGTTCTAAATTTTATTACAATTTATTATCAAACAGACTTATTGTTTGATCTATGTCATATCAATATAGTCAGCTCAGTGTGTGTGTTCAGTGTCAACAGACTTAATGTTTTAATCTAAGTTTAGCAATGCATTTCACAAGAATTGTAAGATTTGAATTACCTTCTTGCCTTTACTTTTGTCTTTAATAACTTCATCTGCCTTGCTCTGAGTCTGTGTTGGAATTTCTACTAGCTCAGACAATGGAAATTTAGGAGGGCAACCAAATTCAGCAATTTCTCTTTTTAGTTTGTCGGCACAAGCCTTAATAGGCATTCCTGTACAATGGAATCCAAATGGGAAAAGGACTTTCTTTCCTTTCATCCGTTGATACCGTGCTGCAAACTATGAAAAACTTTCAGTCAGTGCAGGAAAACAGTCATTCACAATTTTGAAGAAGAGTTTACATTTTTAACTTTACAATATTAATAATTACTACAAATTATATTATTATTCGTTAACATTGATAAACAGAAAAAAATATGTTTCACTGAAAGAATGAAATTATGTTTACTTAGAAGCACACATTTAACCCTTAACTACTATCATGTGTCTGTCAGACCCAAACGAATTGTTCTTCATCCCCTACCACCATGATTATTGGAGCCTGATTCTTGCTACTCTCAGAAGCTGAATTTTTGTAGTGACTGTTGACACTTGTGGAGTTGGTTATTCATTTCTGAATTTAACTGGTTTCATTGGGCTGAGAAACCCAGGACAGCAGTTATGCAAGTATTCTACAAATTACATCTGTTATAAAAATTAGCTTTGTTGCGTCTGATTATAGTCAGCGTTAATTGTTGTCTGAACAATGGCAGATATACCAATAAGACTTTTGGGTTAGTGGCGAGAGGTTAAGCGAGTTCATAAATTCAATAGTAGATGATATTTGTACACAGATGACTAGCTATAAAGGTACTCCACAAACAGGCCTCTAAATAGGTTCTTGTAATTTTTTATGCACAACTTGGTTTACAAAATTTAAATGTTCCATTTCATTTCAAGAAATACTAACATTTAATTTAATGTGCTTTTTTCTAATAGCAATAATAATATTTTTCATACGATTTTACAAACTGGCATTTTCTTAAATGTATTTTAGAGGATGGATAAATCACTTTCCTTGATTTACCTTATAATATTTGAACATACTAAATAAATTGTAAATGAGTAAATGTGTTTATTTCATACATCTGCTCATTTCTTACTATATCTAGAAAATATATGTTACTTCTGGGTCTGTTAGACTCACAACAGTGGCTACGTCACAAAATTAATGACAGTAGTTAAATGTTTAAACATTACAATTCCTATGCATGGTAAAAATTAATACTAGCTTGAATGAATTCACATCACATTTATTCTCATATTTAAAACAAAACTCAATACCACATTCATTGAAGACTGACTGTAAATATCTACCTCGCACTTTGATAACGAAAACATATGACCTAAGTGGAGTTTTCCATTCATGTAAGGGAAAGGGAATGTGACAAAAAACTTATTTTCATTCTTTTCATCTTTTGGGGCATTTTCTTCATGCACTTTGGTTTTTTCCCACTTTCCTTGGACATCCTCTTCTATTTTCTGAAGATATTCAACCTTGAAGGTACCTTTTCTATCAAGGGAAGCAGCCTATAACATCACAATTGTAAACACAGATCAACATTTAAAAAACACAAGATCAAAATTGTTTCATTAAAAATACACTATTCAAAATATATAACCAAAAAAAAAAAATACAATAACTCACCATTTTCAACAATTACTGACAGAAAATGCATATGATTCGCAGGTTTCCAGAGGATCTCTTGCTAGGTTAACTCAGTTGAATGAAGAATTCAGTCCACAAGAATACAATCAGATTCACGTGCACAATTTCGCTTTCATCACGCATTCATTTCGGATCTCACCTACATGTACATATGCTGCACATGTCCACGCTAATCCACCACGTTTCAATTCGCACCTATACGCACTTCATGCCGTGCCGCTAGAGCCGCCACAATCGCCTAAAATAACATTTATTCATTATTGGAATATAAGTTGTTCAAAATGGACTGAAATATCTTTTGAGCTTTCGGCTTCTATAGGAAGAATATCGTGAACAATCATTGAACGAGTCTCCGTTTCACTGGTTGGCAAAAGAAAAACTGCGCGAATATATAAAACTAACGCATCCGTGCGCCAACACTAGCATGGTAATCCCCACCCTTTCTCTATCCATTTCATTATTCTTTTCATTAAGAAAGAAAGTTGTTAATGAAAAGTGTTAATTTGTTAAACAATGTATAAATGTAACTTCGTACTTACACAATATCAAACAAAAATAAAAATGCAATTGACGCTGGAAACATATTCAAAATTATAGAGATATGTTCTTCTTTAAGAACATTTGAAGTTCATTGACAGTTAGCTTTTCTCTTTCCTTCATAGTCACAAAAATATTAGAAAAGGTTTTTATTCTTGGGAAAGCCAAATAAAGTTTTGCATGCCGAAATACAGTATCTTGTATTTGTGTATTCCCTGTATTTGTTATGAGAAATAAAGGGAGTTTTGGAGGGGCAGGGCGCCAGCTTGCTGGAGTGCGAAAATTGAAAAATTATTTGTACACTAAAAAATATTTGACAATTTTCAGGAAAAGCAATTCTGGGTCATAGAATAATAAAACTAATATTTTTACCTTTTAGTAATAAATACCATTTATTACCATTAGAAACAATTCTGTGCGCTTAGACTTCACTTTGGTACACGGAAATGTTACTCAAAATGATATTTACATATTGTATAGCTCCGCGAACAGACACGTTAATATCAAACGGTGTATTACTTACAAGATATGAGTTTACAACTGGGCATTGGCGTAAAGACATTCAGATACCGCCAACATTTAAATTGTGCTTCTGGATTGGGATCGAAGGCAGTTGTACAATGACTTGCGCTATTCTTTCTATAATTTTAAATTTGGTTGCTTTTTTAAACTAATTCACGCAGTATTATAAGCTAGCGCGTTTTTATTTTTGTTGTTCATTTATTTCAAGCTATTTTAATTTATATAATTTAAAAAGTTGTGCCATAGCTCAAGTTTTCTCCTTCTATCCACACATACCTGTGCGAGAACTCTGGCATGTTAAACTCACACTCTTTCCTATTCTTCTATTTCCATTCTAAGAGGAAAAGTTGTTAACGAAACGTATTTATTTGTTTAAAAATGTATAAAGGTAACTTCGGCTGTACTAACACAATATCGATTGAAAATAAAAAAAATGGAATGCAATAGACGTGGAAAAGAAATTTCCACTAAAGATTTATTCGATATTATCAAGAGAATTCTTGGAACAATTCTCAGCACTCCCTTAAAAATAGTTGAAGTAATTATTCAATATTTTTGACAGCTTTTCGCGAGTCACAAAAATATTTAAAAAGCTTTTTATTATTGAGAAATCAGCGTGACTGAACACACTGACTTGATAGTTTCACTGAATCACTGCTGTTAACGAAAATACTGGTACAGGTAGAACACAAATCAAACAAGACATGTCTTCACTCTTCACTGTAAACCCACATCCCTCCACAATTAAATACACAGCACTTTTAGACCTTAAACTTCAAATACATGTTTTCACTACACGCATTGATATCAACAACTAGTACTTCTAGTTGTTGCTGCGAGAGTGAATATTGAATTAATAATTATGCAAATAAACCTCATGAGTCTGCGCAAACCACGGTGTTCACAGAAAGCATAAATAGTTTAAGATAGATGAATGTAAGCGTGACGTCATAAAGACGGCCACCATCACCAAGAGTTGAAATGTAACTGGCATTGATAATATCGATAAGTGACAAACCAGCAACAAATTTATAGAATGCCAAAATTTTATTTTTTTAAGGCCTTAAAAGCTTTGTTTAGGAGTTATTTAACTATATACCTGACCAAGTGCTGTGGGTTGCATTTGGCATGAATATTTTAGATGCGTTTTTTAAAAAAATCCTTCATATTTTTGAAGTCAAAGTGCAATTCGTCACGTTTCGGTGAAATTATTTCTCTTCAGAGACCTCATTTATAAAGATAGATTGCGTGTGAGAGCCGCAAAAGGTATGTATACTACCGAAATAATATGGGATACGATAATATTTATTTAACAGATATACAATGCATTAGTTTTTACCTTCTCGTTCCTGCTTACGGAATATTTACGTTCCTGCTTACGCAATTAATGTAATTATTATTATTATTATTATTATTATTATTATTATTATTATTATTATTATTATTATTATTATTATTATTATTATTATTATTATAAGTAGTAGCATTAAAAGAACATATTGAAATGTTAATTATTAGCAGATAATTTATCTACTGTTTAATATCTTAATCTAACTGTAACAATTATTGTATTTCTAGGCAAATGACCCCATCTCGATCAGGTTTTGTTCAGTTTCCCTAGTCCTTTGAGCAAATGCGGAGATGGCCCTTTGTTTGCTCTTGAACAGCAATGTAACTTCGCTCTCTCCACCCAAGGCATCACATTGACTCGTCATACACGATTGTAATTGTATATGACTCAATAAATATTAATATTATTATTGTTATATTATTATTATTATTATTATTATTATTATTATTATTATTATTATTATTATTATTATTATTATTATTATTATTATTATAGAGAGAGAGAAAGCTTTAAATGACTTCTAACGAAGGTTTTCGAAAACGCAAAAATATTCTGTGAAAGAGCTTCGAATTTACAGTAACGCTTAAGCGCCATTTTCTTAAAAACAGCTCCAAATGTTTCAAAGGAAATTGACTTTTAGGACGAGGTTTTACTGTTATTTATTATCCTTAAAAGAATATTTCGATTATACTATTAGGAAACCGAAAAATTAAGAAAATGCCAAAACAATGTACTTTGGGCTGCGATATATGGCATCTCGCAAGAATATGTGGCAAGTCCTTCTAGCTAGCCAAAACCAAAAGAAATAGAAAACTAATACGGGAAAGTCTGGGCCATCCTGTAGCACTCTTAGTTGTGTAGTTGTAGGACGTCGCTGAAAAAAATTCAAATTTGTGCAATTTTTGAAAATTTAGGTATCCGTGAAAATTTGACATACCAGATAAGTGAATTTTACTCTATTCTTACAAGAAATTTAAAGAAAAAATTGGAGCAGTTTTTGAGAAAATGTTCCAAGGGTTTTATGTAAAGTATCCCCAAATTTTAAACAAATTTTTTTCAAAATTGAAGTGCCTCGAGAGGGGAATATCCATTTTGGAAAAAATCCAACATACGGTTTAGTTGTGTTGTTCTTAGTTGTATTAGTGTTGTTCACGGATGGACGGTCTGGCAGACAGGTTGACGGGCGGACAGATACTAACTTTGTTGGTATCACGGTACCCTCCAAATCGTGTGTTTCTGTTGAAATCTCAAAATAGATTCGTAGTTTTCTTTATACTCCGTATATACGTACACACTATACGAGAAAGTAAAGATGTTGAATTATTTTTATAAACTTTCTTTTTCTCTTACTGCCTTAGGGTTCCGCAATTAGCATTGCTAGCCCAGTGTATGCGCCTGAAGGCGGCTCCATAAATTCGGCATTCGCCGGGGTGCTCGCCGAGTCGCCATCCCCGAGAAGTTGATATGTTCGCATCCTTTGTTGTACGATGTAAGAAATATACTTTGATGTGCCCAAAAGACCGACACCCAGTGGGTAGGGCGAGCACCGAATGTGTGCAGGTACTCCCCGAAACCAGCCTTAATGAATGCAACCAGGGTGAAAGCGATTCAAAATGCTGCGCTAAAATAGTACGCTTATGAAAAGTTTTGAAAAATAAAATTCAAGTAAGAATTTAATGAAATTAATTTAATCTTGATTTGCTAAAAATGTTTCTCCAGAATTCTTTTCCTTTCATTTAGTGCTACTATTTGGGAATTCCATTCCTCTGCAAACAAAAAATTGGTGGTTAAATACAATTGTCAGGTGTAGAAATGTTTCCTTATGAATTGTTTGACAACTAATGAGACAAGGTAGTAGTGCAGGACAGAATAAACAGAGATTAACATTCATTGCAATTTATTAACATAACATTTATACAATATTCATGGTGTTGTCTACAAAAAAATGAAGGCCATCAGATGTTTCATAAACTTTTTAACAAATTTATAGGAATTATACAAATTCTACAAAGAATATTGTGTTATTTGTATTACTAAAACCATATTTTGTATAATATATATTTCTGAGACATTTACAAGTTATGACTCTCTTTTGATAATATATAGGAAAATAAATTCAACATCTTGTAAAAATTGCACATACCTCTCATAGTTAGCAAGTTTATCACGAATGTGGTGGTCAATACACTGCACTTTGAGTCTGCAGGCAAGAGTCTGTACAGTGGCAGTCTCGAGACTCTTGCTGATTTTCATTTGCCAGTATTCACAACTTCATCATTATCAGTATGATGCAATAGCAAATGTTTGATTCACAACGTCATGAACTCGAGATACCGAAGGTTTAGTTACACATAAAAAGTACAAAAAAGTTTTAAAAGGACTATTTGATAGGCATGGAAAGAGAATGTCAGGAAAATGTATCACTCAATGTACTGGCCAGCACATTGGAAGCCCACTACAGTCCGGTTAGGTAATTAGTTAAATTATCTTTTTTGCATCTTTTCGTCATATTATGAATTCACTGAAGATAAGTTTAATGATGAATGAGTTAAAAAATTAAAATAATTGGTTATTGCTGTTTGCAGTGGGAGTACATATCAACTTGAACTTGCTTAAAATTTAACCCAATTCAAAAAAAATTACAAACAAGTAAATTTTGTAACATCCACTGAGAGCATTGACATATCCACACTTTTATCGTTGACTTTTTTTTTTTTCATAGAAAGCAATATGAGCAGTATGGGATTTATAGTAACTCCTTCCCAAACCTTCATCACCATTGTTTGGTTAAATATTAGCTATTATTAAAACATTACATATAATAGTGTGTTGAATATTATTTGATAGATAATTATCAATTATTACCAGTGTTTCCAAGTCTCCGGATAGGATCAATGAAAATGTAATAAAATGTTTATAAGTTGAAACAGTGCCACATTACTTCATTTATGCATTTCCAAAACATAAGAAAAATTGCAGGGATTCTTTTAAATTATGCCTTTTAAATTCAATATAGTCCATAAT